GATTGATCTGCATGCAGGAACTTGCACTTGTTTCCAAATGTGCAGGTACCTTTCTGCCATTGCCAACAGGTTCTCTTCTTGGGTCCAGCTGAAGAAGAACTTCCCTTACTCTTTCCTCTTGATGAATCTCTACTTCTGCTTCTCCCCTTCTTACCTTTCATCTTGGCATCATAGACCTTCTGTGAATGACTGTAAAGACACTTGTCACCTTTATTACACCCACCTTTGTTGAAGAAGTAGTTGCAGAAAATCTTCTTCTTGTCAACGGGTGAAGATGATCTTCCCTTCCCACCTTTGCCTTTCTTGTTGTTCTTGTCGGCATGTGACTTCGGAGAAGGGGTTGGAAGGACTGAGGCAGCTTCACTCTTCGCCTTTGCTTTAGGTCTTTTAGGAGGATCACTCGTAGATGATGCTGCTGCTTCGTTCTCCTTCTTGGTCTTGATGGGAGCAGCAGGCCTCTCTGCATCTTCCAAGGCTGGTGTTGTCTTGGTAGAAGTCAATGAGATTTTGACTGCACGCTCTCTTTCCTTTAACAGTCGTTCTTGTTTCCCTCGTGCGATGTAGCCTTTGATCATGGTGATTAGGAAGTCATAGGTCTTTTCAGGATGCCCTTCATCGAAGGTTCGGTATCGGCTGATGTCAAAATGCATAAGCTTTGAATGTTCAATCTTCCGGAACAAAGTGTCACGTAGTGAGTTGAGAGATGGACGATCATCTTGCTTCATGTTGTACACTATGTCAAGCCACTTATTGTAGAAAGCTTCAAGCTGGTCATCTCCATAGTTGAATACATATAGGTGATGGGAGTTGTAAAGAACTTCAGTATGGTCTGGCGACTTGAAACTTACCAGAATCATCGCGAATAGTTTTCGTCCTTTGATGAAGTCTCCACTCTTCCCATACATCTGATTCTTCATGGACATCTCATACTTCACTTGCATGGATTTGTCCCCGGCATTTAAATGACCTTTCTCAAAGCATTGGAAAGTTTGGCATCGATAGATTGGAATCTTATATCAGGAGCCAAGGCTAATGCATCCATGTCTGGTTGATCTGCAAGACAAGGAGCCAACCATGCTTTCCAATCACCGTAGTTGCGGTCTCCGCTAGCAAGATGAAAGTTCAGTAGTCTTTGGCCATGGTTGGAGAGTGATCTTCTCCGCCTCCCTCTGGGATACAGATGACCTCGCCTTGTCCTTCTCAAGGTTCTCCAACTCCACGACATTGGTGTCGTACTCATTCCTGAGCTTTTCGAAGGCTTCGGCTTCTGCTCGATATTCTTGCTCTTCATCATTAGCACGATCTTCAGCTTGAGAGAAGTTATTCTTATAGTGGTCCTTTCGTTCTTCCATCTTCTTCAACTCATCTCGAAGACCTTGAACCTCTTCATTCTTCTCTCGTTTCATTTCTTCCAATTCGGCCTTCAACTTGGCACACTTCTCCTCGCATTCACTTCGAGGCAACGCATTATTGGAGGTTCCAAATAACACAGTCTGCATATTCTGCATTGAAGACGAAGCGGCTTGGTTTTCGAGTCTCAGTGCAGCGATGGTGCTTGACATCTCTTCCACCTCAGCGGAGCGCTCATTGGCAAGATGGTGCATCTCGGTCAGGTGACTTTCAGGAATAGAATAGTCAGTTGCCCCTTTGATCACAAGCCGTCTGTTGTTCAACATGCTGATGGAGTGGCCTGCATCTCTTCGTGCACGATCAAGAGATTCTCTCTGAGCTTCAACTTCAGTGTTAAGTCGAGCAACCATCTGGTCCCTGTCACTGATTTCATTGTGTAAATTGTCAAAGACGTTGCTGGAAGAATTTGGATGAGTACTCATGAAGTCAATCCTTTCCAAAGCATCCTGATATTTCTTCCAAGGGATTCATATGAATCATGGTAGGTCTTGATCAGGTTTTCATTATCAATGATTTCTGCTTTGGCTCTTCTATACATGACATCAATTTCTTCCTTGGATTTCTTGACAATATCATGATCACGCCGTGCTTGATTGTACATCTCATAGTATAGCGCTTGCGATGGTGCGTCATTTAGAGATGATTGTCTGGCTTGTTGGCATGACAGCTCATGATATACTGGTTCTTCGATTCAGTCAGTTGTTGTTGCATGCGATCCAATAGGCTTTGCTTCATGTGTAATTCTGAACGTAGTCCCATGATCCTCACGTCTCGCGCACCATTTGCTTCAGAGAACGTCTCTTCGAAGAGTCTACTCTCAGTTGTCATCAATTGTGATTGTAATCCTTCACTACGAACCAATTGCAATTGAAGCTGAGTCTCCTCTAGAGCTAAATGGTGTTCACATTCGGCATACCTTTCGTGTTCAGATCTAAGGTCACCACGAAGTTCTCTCATGATCTCCTCTCTTCTCGCGTCAGCGGCATCGAGTTCTGTTTCCAGTCGCCTTATACTCAATGACATGTTGTGTTTCATCGTCTGGTTGTGGTTTGCAACCTCGAGCATTTCGACGTGAAGTGCGCATGTTCGATCATTGGCAAAGCCGACTGCCAGAGCTTCTTGCTTCGCGTTCATCTCTGCATTCTCCAGTTCCAGTCTGAGTTGATTGATGTGAGCATTTGCATCAGTACCCACGTATACCATGATTGCATTCGCTTGTCCCATCTGTTCATTGAATTCTGATCTCAGTTGTGAATATCTAAATTCCAGATGAGATGCTGCTTCATTCGACATGGTTCGATACCTCCCCAACTCTTCAATCCTGTAGGTTGCACCTTCGTCTTCTTGTTGTGCAGCGTGTAGTTCAGAGTTCAGGATCTGAAGTTGTTGAGCCATCGATGTCATTTCTTGATGAGTGGTGTTCTCCAGAAAATTAATTGTTGAGAGGCGTAGGCGGCCGTCTCAGTCAATCGCGCTTGCAGTACGGATTCCTCTTCAGTAGCCCTGTCTAGTGATGTCTTGTACTCTGCTAATTCACTCTGATAGGCAGTGAAGATGTCGCTACCACTTGATGGGGCATTCACTTGTTGATAAGATCCCACCCCTGATGGTGTAGCGTCCTGAATCGGTGAAGGCGGATTCGATGATGTAGGCTTCGCATTAGTCCTTGGAGTCATCGGAGGCGATGATTGTCGGGCAGATGATCTCCTTTTCCCAGGTGTACTGTCCCTATCTTCAATTGCTTGCATTGTCGGTAATTGTCTCCCCCTCGGAGCAACCAGAGATCGTCCGGGTAAGCTCGGTCTCAGTTCTGAGGTTTCGCTTCCACCAGTATCGAAACTCTGTGAAGAATTTGACTGCGTGCCGGCAGCTGGTGCGGCGGCATGTCCAGCAAAGGAAAATGCGTTATCGCTGCTGTCCTCTTCAGCCATTTGTAAGGTCCGCGGCTACCCGCTCGCAGGCTCCGTTGGAGACCTACGGCTGATAACCTGTGAATCGGGGTTTGTATCCGGTATTTGTCTAGATCTTGTCAAGTGGTTGTTCGAGAAATCCTCAACGACAAGTGGACGGCGGCTTCTGCATGTGCTTCCTATTTTCCTGGATTGCTGCAGTTGGGCGTCTTGAGCCAAAATGGGTGTTGTTCAACGGACCCATTTGGCTAGAGTTTTTGAGACATCTGTATAAGGGATAAGTGTTATGTACCGTAGCCGTTATCCCATTCGCACATATGCATATGTATATGTGAATGTTTATGTATATGTTTGTGTATATGTAAATGTACATGTATATGCATGTATGTATGTATGTATGCATGCGTGCATGCAAATGTATGTATATGTATGTATATGTATGTATATATATATATATATAGATGTCTGTATGGATAGATGGATGGATCGATGGATCGATGGATAGATAGATAGATAGATAGATAGAAAGATAGATGGATACAAAGATAGGTAAATAGATAGACAGATAGATCGATACATCGATAGATCGAGAGATGGATAAATGGATAGATGGATAGATGGATAGATAGATACTCATCCTGGAGCACATAGAATATGTTTTTATTTTGGGAATTTCCATCGTCTCGCTACTTCTACTCCACTCCAGGAATATTATGTAGTGTATGTATGAAAAAACATGTATATATATAATTATATGCATATGTATACACACATTTTTTGTATTGACAGAAACAACCGCTGTCAACCATGGCAGAAATTTCCTTTGACGTACTTACAAGGATGTTTTCGGAATGGTAACCAATGTATATATATATATGGAGGTTTCCTGGAATAGGGGTACCCCCTTTTAATTAATAGGATTGTCCATTATAAGCTATCCATTTTAGGGTACCCCCATGTATCCTCATTTTGGGAAACCTTCGTATATACATGTGCCCTTTTTATATACATGTGTCCTTTTTATTGTGGATTATTTTAAAATATGTTTGTTTCAATGCGGTAAACCCAAAGATACACCAACAGATTGGGGATTGTCTTTACCATTTACGGTAGTATTAGGGATGGTTTATGGCATTGGGTTGACCAAATGAACTGGGATTATTTTTACCAATTTAAGGAAACAATAGGGAACACTTTGCAGCAAGGATCCAGAATGGTGCGGGTTTCAACATGTTTCAACCAAAAAATGGAAATCTTATGAAGACATTTCTATATATACAAAACTGATGGGAAATTCACCCGCAAACATCCTTGGTTGTTTCAAGGCAACGGTTTTTTCCGGCTCATCATCCCAGATGGGACAGAACACATCGTTGAAACCTGAAACCAACAGGCTACCCGGCTACCCAGAATTGGAAAATGGATGAAAATGGTTGTTCATCTCTAGAACCAGATCTTCCATTTCTTGGTTTCCTATGGTTTCCGGCTTTATTTTGTGGTGGAGAGCTTATCATCACAATGGGTGAAGACCAGCGATCCAGGCACACTCTCTTGGACCCTTTGCCAAAATAGGTCAAAAATCAAGCCGCCTGAGGTTACATATGACATTTAACGGCATATTTGAAATAGCTAGCAGATCTAACAGCTAACAACAGGACAGCTACACCTTTACTGGGCAGCCCAACATCTGCCACTCGGGCATCGTTGCGATCCAAGACCTTTCCGATGTCACTCTTCAGTTGACCTCGGAGTGGCACAACTGGCACAACTGAGGCAAGATTGGCAAGATTCCACGACATCTTCCGGTAGAAAAAGGCCGTTTACCAATAATAAATGGTTATAGCTGGTTATAAATGGGATTGGACATTCCAAAAATGGGGTTATAAGTGCTTATAACTGGTAAAGGACCATAACTGTACTTACAGAAAAATAACAATGCTTAAATATCAAGAAAAGGCAATTCAACAGCACTGTTGACATTGAACCGTGCAAGAAAACGATGAAAGTGACATTCAGCCGGCTAGGAAGACGTTTCTCACGACCCTTTGACATGCAAACGGTCTCATGACAGAGATCAGCCATGGGATTTCTTGGGCCTTGATGAAACAGTTTTTGCGGGCTTCAAAACTTTCGTTTGGCAAACTTCAAACTTCTTACATCCTCGGAGTTTCGTCTCACAATGTCAAGATGTCAAGAGTCAAGCATGTGTTTCGGCTGATTGCGAGACGAACAATCAGCATAGGGCTCAAATGAAAAGTGGCATTCTGCAGTTATGGTCCTTTACCAGTTATAAGTACTTATAACCCCATTGATAGAATGTATAGCCCCATTTATAACCAGTTATGAAATGTTATTACTAATAAATGGCCATAACTGTGTTACATCAAATGGATGTTGTGACTAAAACGGGGCAGGCACTCGGCCCCGTTTTACACCCAGCCAGGTCGCGGTCCACCCCGAAACGGTCAAACTCACCTGGGGTTTTGTGTGTGCAGGGCGATGGGACGGCGATGGGACCCCAGTTCTGGAGAATTTGGATGGGAACAGATGGGAAAAGGATACTATTTCTATAAGAACTATGGGAAAATGACGTTTTTTGTCAAAACCTATTGGGAAAATGATGATCACACGAAAGTTAGCCTTTCCCAACCTTGAAAGCGGGAGAAACAAATAAGGGATGGGGAAATCCTCGAAGGGAGCATCATTTGTGAGGGCTATAGGGCTCCAAGTGACGCTCGAATCTATTTAATGGAGTTTTGGCCAGATGCTTGGTTGAGCAACTTCGAAAAAAGTCCACGCGTGGGGTCATTCCATTTATCATGGTCAACTAGGAAAAACCGAAGCGTCATGACAATCATTATCCCACTGAGTACAATAATCCACAATTTGGGATGTCAAAAATGTCATGGGTTATCCCCGAGCCACCATGGGTTTCAATACTAACATGGTCATCCATGACGACTGGATGATTTATGATTTTCCGAGGCACGATAGATGTGTCCAATGTTGGAGCATGGGTTGACCTGCAAGACCGGCCAACATCACTCATATGGAGGTTGCCTGACATAGGGGTACCCCTAGTCATCATCCATTTTAGATTGGGATTTTCCATTGATAAACCATCCAGCTCTTGGGGTACCCACCATTTTAGGAACCCCGATATAACATGATATAAGTGGGTGTTGACTTTATGGACGATGAAAAATCCTGGAAGTCCAGTTTTTCTGTTGGTGAACATGTCAGTTTCGTGCTAGAACTATTCCTATCACGTCCAGTTGTCTGGTACATGCAAATACCAACCGACATGCTGGATATTCACCAGCCATATTGTGGTGCGTTAGCAACGCTGATATATCGTGCCAGGATCGACCCACATCTGAAGCCAGCCAATCAAGATAGTCCATTTATGTCAATTTCACATTGAAAACAGTCCGATAACTATCCGATAACTATCCTCAACTGGCAAATTGGTAAAGCTGTCCTCCAATGGGTCACAAGATAATATGCATGAGAATGTGCTGGTTTTCTGTGCTGGTTCGCGGAAGCCTTATTATCTTATTGGTATTTCACAACATCGGGGTACCCCAAGGCCCAAAAATCATCAAACAACATGAGTTTCCTCCCAAATAAATGAGTTTTGGGTCAGCCATTTTAACACATCATCAGTTTAACTCCAGAAGCGACTTGTTTTCCCCAAAAAATCCAAACATGAAGCATGCATCAACTTTGGGATCCCCACCGCACCGTATCATTTCCAGGACCAAAAGCCCCTTTCACCGGCGGCACCTCCAAAGTTCCACCGCACATCCAAATGCGAAAGGACATCTCCACATGCTCGGCACCTGCTGAAGTTGAAAGTGAGCCTACCCCAAATAGTGACAATCTGCTACTAAAACCGTACCCCGCCCACTTAAACAACCCACGGGGTTGTGAATCCTGGGTAGTATTCCGAAATGAAACGGCTTAATTTACAAACAAACCCGATCAAATCTGGGTGTTATTAACCCACTAATTATTTCAGTTTGGTATTTTTCATTGCCTACACGGTCACACGGCTTCAAAACTACAGAAGTCACGTCAGCCAGCAACAGCCAAGGAATGTGGATAGATTTTTTTGTTTAAAACAACTTAGCTAAACAAACTCATCTCAGTCATATCACTGGTGTAAGAACCAAATCTCGTTTCTGAACTACGTAATCATTGACCAACTGACAACCATGGTACCATGCATTCAATAGTTGCCCGAAATCAAAACAGAAAATGGTGGTCGTCAATCATGATTGGCCATCAACGCGGTGAGTAAAAAACAAACATGTCGTAGAACAAAAACATAGCACGCTAAGGTGCCTCCCAGATGGAGAACATACAATTTACTCACCTTGGAACATTTCTGTTTAAAAAATGGGGGATTCCTAAGTCATGGGGGTATCCCAAGTCATAAATCATCCATTTTAGATTGGGATTTTTGACCTAAACCGTCCAGTCCTCGCTTGAAAAATCGTCACCAAGCCGCCATAGTAGCGGATCTCAGGATCATAGCCCCCAAGTTCCCAGTAGTACTCCTCAGGGTCAGTCTCACGTGGCACCATGTTTTTGGGAAAACCGCATCTGTATCATAAAACCTAATGGATTATGATCATCACACATATTGCATCATATTGTGCCTATATATATATATACATATTTATTTATTTATAAGTATATATAGCTCTTCCCGAAAAAGGAAAAACAGAGCTGTGTATTTGGACAAAATGCAAACTGCCTGCAAACCTGAATTTCGCTCAACAACTAATTCATAGAAAACGGCTAATTTATAGATGATTTACCTATTCAAAATGGTGTTTGTCTATAGCTTTGTAAAACTACCAGAGCGTATGCATTTTTGTTGGAGCTCCTTTTGTGGCTTGATGTTGGCAAAAAATCTTTTCGGTGGGTCAAATGCACATTGTTTGTTTTTTGAATCCCATTTTGTCTGGGTTCAAGCAGTGTGTTTAATATGGCAACTGATCTGCGTTGGAACAATACCCTGGATGACAGAATATAAAAATATACAAATAATATATAAATATGGGAATGTCTCAAAATAGGAATGCCCCAAACGTTCTATTTTTCAGCTGAAAACAAGGGCTTGGGGCACCCATGAGCACCCCTATTTTGAGACATACCCATGTGACACATGTATATGGGAACCATTAAGCACCAGCCGGGCATTCATGGATACCAGGAAGCCACAGGCGTTGTAATTAGGCTAGTATCCCGCTACTTCATAGCTAATTAACGGGGGTCAACTGGTTGAGCAATGAAACAAATCCCTACCCATTCCATGCAGTGTTTGAAAAAAAAACACATCAAGATGTTGTTGTATCACCTCGCCATAAAAAAAACATCAACCGTCATCTTTCATTTGAATCGAAACATATCCCAATTATATCAAACTATTACTTCTAAAAACCCACTAAAACAATGATCTGCAACTTTCCAACTCATCAACCAATAGTTGGGTATGTATCTCCATATCTTTGATCATTCAAACACCAAATGGTTCCTCTATTTGATGGTTCAATCCGCTTGAAATCGCATGAAGCTCAGCATTCCTCTGCCAATTCCATCATCAATTGCACCCCCGAATCATCCTCAGCTGGTGAAGAGTCATATTTGGCGGTTCACAGTTATCGCCCGAAATACTAGTTATATCCAATTATAAGTATTAAGCCAGCCCATTTATGGAATGTATAATCCCATAGAAATATCCAGTTACCATCTGGTTATGTAACATAGCCATGGAAAATCCCTGATAAATGGAGGTTTTAATGGGAAATTCATCTATAAATGGGCCATTTTCCATGGCTATGTTAAATAACCAGAGGGTATAACCGTTCATAATTGGTAGACGGCCATGACCGCCATGGCACACGGTCCATGGCGAAAAGCCCCCCAGGCATCACTGGAGAGCGCCAGACTGATGCCTGGCGAAGGGACTGGAATCTCTGTGGAATCTGCAGCAACCCCCAAAACGATAGAACAGTGAAACTCTCCTGACATAGATAATTTGTGATAATTTAATCTATAGTTTACTCTAAATATAGGAGATAGTTTAATGATCAGTTCACCAATATACATTATTAATCTAACATAGATAGTTTATGATATTTTAATCATCAGTTCACCAATACTGGAAATGTATGATGGTTCTTGGACTTTGTTTTGGTGAAACCTTTTTAAACATGATCTATAGTTTACTCTAAAATTTAAATTCTACTGGCATAGAGGCAAATTGTTATTCTATCTTTTTGGCGGTTATTACCACGAAGGCACCCGATAATGTATGGGAAACCGCGGTCTCATTATGGGAAAGGATGGGAGATTAGAGAATAATTTCGGAGAATGCATGGAAATATCATGAAATATCTTCGTCCTTCACGTACTTGCAACAATACACCATCAACATGTCGTGTATCCGTATGGCTGGGATGATAGGTCAGTCGCCTTCTTGTCAACATCCTTCTCGGGTAGATCGCTGTCCATGTCCTCAGTGGCCCGTTGCGGACTGCTGGCCGCACATCTATGAGAAAAACATGTGGAAGGTGAACCCTGGAGCCTCACAGGATTGGATTCACGTTAAGACATAGGTTTCGTATGGGAATGTGTTGGACATCTATTTGTCTTGGTCTGTTGCATCTGGTATCATTTTTCCATTCAAAACCCCCAAAAACAGACCTTCGCGACGGTTGGAAAAAAACCTCATGGAAATCACTGCGTGGCTGGGCAAATTGAAACCCGAAAGACCCTGAACCTTGCTGCAGCCTAACCTCTCTCTTTATTCTCTTTGAGAGTCTAAGCTGCCATTTGAGACATGGCCAAGTGACCGCTTTGGTAGGTTTTAGCCACATGGTAACTCAATCACACCTACTCCAACCTGTTCAATCAAGCCTATTCAGCTTTGGAGGATAGAGAAATCTGAGCTGGCTTCACCGAGGTTTGTGTTCCTCAAAATATTAGGGGCCACTTGACCATCTAGAATGGTCTCTCTCCCTATCTCTTTTTCCTGCGTGTCAGCAACTAGCAATTCCTAGAAGCTTGAACTTCTTGCCATCTTCTGTGCACCGGACTGCAGCGTTGAAACCCCTTCGAAGTCTTGGTATCTTCTCGGCTTCTAACGTCACGCGTGTGGTGATGGACACTTTTTCTGACCACAAAGCATCAATCTTTACCGCTGCTCCCAGGGGGTTTTGCTCCATATCTTCAAGTTGGCAGGTGGCCGACCCAATGTTTTCATAGCTGGACAAATACTCGAGAAAAATCAGTCCCCCGGTCAGGCGCACCAGAAACACGATTTCACCTGGCTTGAGCTCAGCATATCTGCCATACTGCTTCAATGTTGGCCATCTTCGGTGAACCTTATTAACCTTCGGCACCAAGGGAATCTGTGGTTCCTCGTTGGCTATCCATCCGTACTTCCCGGGCCGGTCTGCACCCAGGCGCCATTTGGAGCTGTTGGCCGATACAAAAGCAGGAAATCCAGTGTCACTTAGGTGGGACAAATACGTGGTGATATGCATCTCACATCGCTCTGCTTTGGAGAGATTGACCACTAAATCTTTCTGCATCTTCTCCTCTTCCAATGTTTCTTGAAAGCCTTTTTCGCAAAAATCCTTCAAAGTTCCAGTGCACACTTTCTGGGATCCCACATCGCAGGATTCCTGCAGCACCCTGAGCGCAGATGCCGAGGCGGTAAATCGATCAAAAGTTTGTTGTGAAGCTCAAAATACAGGCCCCCTGAGTACAGTATATATGAATCTATCAAGTAGGATGGTTTGTTACTCCAATAGCTATTGGATTTATGGTGGTTGAATGGGCGAACATAGGGCAACTTCTGATATGGTGCTCCACTGAACAAGGATGGTCTCCATACACTATGATGAAGCGATCCCCTCCACACATGATCTTCTACCCACACAGAAAAAACTGAAAAGACACGAATTCTGCGAGAACCTGATCCATTCAATATGCAAACGGTTGTTTTTTTCCCCCGCTAACAGAACGAAGCAAGATGAAAAAAACAAACTACTTGCTTTGCATCTCCGGGTTGGGGATGGGGCAGAAACCACCCGTCATTTCTTTTCCAACTCGGACCCTGGTATGCTCCAAGCATCTGGAGGAGGTAGCGATGGACGGTGTGTGCCAAAATGAAATGTACACCACATCCGTAATGGACCGGCGCATTGCTTCTTACGTCGTCGTAAGCATGCAGGAAAGGCATCTTGTTGATACTCCTGACAGTTTGTTTGCATAGATTTCGGGCTGCCAACTGCCACCCTGCTAGCGCTGAACCACAAATAGACAGATTCCTCTTTTAGACAAGCGCTAGACGTACTTGGATAGAAGGAATTAACCGGTAAATGCAGGTAACGTCCTTCAGGGCCTAAAAGCCCAACTCATAAAGTTTCTATACGCTGAGAATCGATTTATGCTTACATGTTGCCAAAATTTGACTACGGACGTCAAATACTGCCTGCGGAGATCAAAAAACACTCTTTACCGCAATGTATAGCAAGCAAAAAGACCTAACATCTGATTCGCAAGGAAACACATCTCCAGGGTTTTTATTAACAACATTAAAGCTACAAATTCCATTGGGATCTCCATCTCTTTCCCGATCATCCTGGTACTCCGGTTCAAGGGTGGCATCTGACAAACCATGTCGGGATAGTTCAACAAAGGCAGGCGGAAGGCCTTCGCGGCACCGTAGAAAGGATCCGAGCTCGTGAAGTTTGCAACGAGACCGCAGGGAGTGCTGCCGTGCAGCATCAGCAAGTGCATGACTGGCCGCGAGAAGGTCTCCACAAACAGCAGGGCTGGAGGCCGTTTCCAATCTTGCAGATACGCATAGATCGTTGTCGCACCGCTCTTGGCATCAGAGGCATCATTGGCAGTGACGCTATAATCAATGACGACAATGTCCAGAGTTCGGTCATTCTGATATTTCTGCAGCACTTGCCGCCATTTGAGCTGCAACCTGGTGGCCGGTCGTGCCTCATTGATCACTTCCAGTGGTAAGGGGCTGCCTCTGAAGCTGGATAAGTTTTGCAAGGAATCTGTCCAACGCAGATGCTGGTTGGGACATCCCACTCCTTTTGTTGTGGAAGGACCCATGCCAACCTGGGTCGCAGGTTTGGGGGTCAACCTGCTTGGGATGCGGCGGAAATCAAATATGCTTGCATTTATCCATGAACCCGAATGCACATCATAACAAATCCGTATAACAAATCCGCTTCAAAGTTCGTTGTGGGACTCATTTGTGAGACGCTGCTGCAAAACACGGTTTGAAGCCTCTCTTCTGAGACACTCCTGTAAAACCCTCCTTTCACGGCACTCTTCGACAATCGTGTAAGACACTGTGGGGGCAACCTTCTAAGGCATTCTTTCAAGACACTCTTGCCAGGCGCTTTTTGAAGAAACTTTGCTGGGTCACTTTTTGAAGACGCTTTTGCAAGACACTCTGTGAAAACACTCTTGTTCATAAGATCAGATCACCAGCAGCTGTCCATCCATGTCCAACCCCAGACCCCTACTGTAGAGACAAACGACAACCCTTCGCTCTGCGTTCGGGAAAAAATTGAAACAAATCATCCGCTGGATGATTCCTCTCACTACCACGCAAGGTCGGGTGGTCCTTTTTTGCAGGGCTGATATTGCAGCCAAGTCTTCATTATTTTTGTTCTATGCCACTTTGGGATGGCATTTTGAACCCACCAATAGCATCTGTTAATTGGCCCTCTCCCATACATCTTGTCAACCTTATGATATGGTGACCGGGGATTGCTTTATAATCCAGGGATGAATTTTATTCACACAGCAACCCAGCCCAAAACTGCCCAAAATCCTAAGGGACATTGCAGGTGAAATTAATTCCTTGAGTTTCCTCAAGCACTCCAAAAAGGAGCAATCCGTCCATCAGCTAGGTTGTGTTGGGACTAATTGGAACTTTCTAATGTTAAGGAATCCAAAAAATCCCAAGGACTCATTTGACCCGTGGGCTAATAATTATGGATGAGAACAGGCTATGGGGGGTTAAGTGAATCATCTGGCTTTCAGGGTAGGATTATTAAAGCCGCACTACATTATATAAGTATAAATATAATATACATAATATAAATATAATTATACATTCCTTAAAGGTTGGAATATAAGTCAACTAGGTCAGGACTTAACCCACAGACTCTCTGGCACGCTCATTCTTTTTCCGTTCACCTTTCCCTCTGTGTCTTCAAACCTGTCTTCCTGACAGGATATAATGCATTGGGTATGCCTACAGATCCATCAGCCCTGCCGATGGAGGCAACTTGTGTCAGTCAGGCTGAGATATGCTGGATCCTATCCAGATATCTATTCACACCCAGCCACTGAGACACTTAAGCCCCTTCAATCTGTAGGGATTCGCAGAGTCGTGCGCAAAGACCCCATCTGCAGTGCAGACTTCAAGTTATAAGGTTACCCCACAGGGGACCTGATAACAGGGTGGGTCAAATCTTCGATTTAGGGAGGGCAAGGAATCCCGTGCTGCTATTTTGGATCAAGATTTATACTTGAGCCAAAATTGGCATGTGTTTTTCCTTATTTAACCAACCACCAAGAAATGACCACTGTCCACCCAAGCCTGCCAAACACTAGACAGTCATACATTCCTTAAAGGTTGGAATATAAGTCAACTAGGTCAGGACCTAACCCACAGACTCTCTGGCACGCTCATTCTTTTTCCGTTTGCCTTTCCCTCTGTGTCTGCAAACCTGTCTTCCTGACAGGATATAATGCATTGGGTATGCCTACAGATCCACCAGCCCTGCTGATGGAGGCAACTTGTGCCAGTCAGGCCCAGATGTGCTGGATCCTATCCAGATATCTATTCACACACAACGCACTTCTATCCCAATGCACTTATAAAAGTCAGCCAGACCAGGATGGCTGTCGGGAAGACTCCAGTGAAAGGTTGGAAAAGGAGCTAGTTACGACACACATTCGACTGATCAAAGCCCTGGGTTATGCCCTCCGAGATACCAATGGAGGCAGTCCAGTGGCTTTCAGAGGGTGCCCCTGCCCAAACAGTCCATGTTTGGGAGAAAAGGAAAAAGTGGAGACGGCTGTAACGACTCAGAGGGTAGAGGAAACATCCCTCTCGCAATTGAGATCCTAAGAGCTACCGTGCTTGCTTTGGTCCCGACAGAGCTGCACAGAAAATGCTTGTGAATCCTTTAAGTAAGGATTGAAATAGCAGTTGGACGTTCCAGCTCGTCCTCTGCCTCCCTGGCCACCCCCAGGTTAGTCCATTACAGACGATGTAAATGCCGTTCATATCTTACTTTGGACACCCCAAAGCTGCATGGAAGACGCCTTAGCAACAAAGAGTAAATGCTCTGTCTTATGTGCGGGCTTCCCTGGTTACCCCAGGTTTGTCCCACTCGACGATGCAAAAATGTTGGTGATTTGCTGTGGACACACCAGAGCTACACCTAATCGTCTGGCAAATTGAACATGCTGTAGAAAAATAGCAATTTACCTCTTGCTTGCCCCCTACAAGCTGTCTCGTTTCAGGTCTCCCTGGTAAGTCTTTTCGACCGGTCGAAAGACCTGTTTGTGGCTTACTCTGGGCACTCCACAGTTGCACGAGTAATCACAATGGAAAATAGTTGGCTAACCATTTGGCTGGTTCCCGGGCTACACCCCTAAGCTACACCTAATCGCCTGTTAGGATGAGCAGGCGGTGGAAAAAGGTCGAATCGACCTCTGGCTTGTCCCTGACAAGTGAACTCGTCCAGGGTCTCCCTGGTCACCCCCCGGTTCCTCTCTGCCCCCCTCACGGCGCACTTTGGGCACTCCAAAGTTACATGGAAGGCGCGTAAGAAATAGACTGAATAGTCTGGTCTGTCTCAGGCCTCCCTGGCGACATCAGTCCTGCCCATTGATAAGACGTAAACTTCCGGCGCCTTGGATTTTCCAGAGCTGCACCTAATCGTTGACAACACATGAGCAGGGTATGGAGAAAGCAAAATGGAACTCTCTTTCGACTCTGACCTCCCTGGTCCCCCTCAGGTGCGTCAGTCCAGACGGAGAAAAACATCTGGTATTCGCCGCGGTCTCCATGGCTCTGCCTCAGATGTTCCGCCATAGCGAAATCGAGAGTGAACGGGGGAAACGTTAGCGCATCAGACTTTTAAAAGTTGTCGGACGACAACGATGTTCTTATTCTCATCATGCATGCATGCTGGTATGCCTATAGGTGATTGGGTATGCCTCTTCTGCCTGAGGTTTCCCCCTAGAATCGTTGTCCCTGCAGGGATCCCAGTTGCTATAGGGATTGTCTCGGATTGAGCAATCCGCACATGCCCCTAGTCAGCCCCCAGCTTGCACTCAAGCTGATGGTGACCACCGGATGCCCGCCATAGAGCTGCCTCGGTGTTCAGCTGCTGTTTGTATGGAGCCCCGGTTCGAACTTGGGGGGGGCCCCAGGCTGGGATATAGCTAAACAAGCAACCCCTTCAAGATCACATTGTCAATGTGGAGAGTATCCCCTATAGTATAGGGTAGCCTGTGGGGTCCCCTCCCCCTGGCTGTCAATGCCCCATAAGAGCTCACACAACTCCCACCCGCATCCCGCTCCCTTCGGCACCACCGGTCGGTCCTTGGTCTGCTTAGCGGGGGGCTGCTGAGTACACCTGCGTGCGGCCACTTCGGTGCCGGTGAATTTGCAACAACGCTGGGGCTGGTCCCCCCCAAGGCCTATATGCGTGCTCATGGAAAGCCCCTGGAAATACTTAGACAAAAAGGGGGAAGCTGATGCAGAGAGCCCCCCCAGTGCATCACCCAGTGAACTACGTATTGCTTCTCCCTAGCCGGTCAGATGGCCTCCTCCCGTCGGCCCACGGACTCATGCATTTCCACACGCGAGCTGTTATCCGAAAATCTTGATCACATCAAGAAAGGCCCGACCATGTACCAGCCCTATGACTTTGCCTGGTTGAATTTTGAAATTAAGGAGGTTCGGAGGAGTTCAAGCCACCAAAAATGCAAAAATACATACCTCACTCTGCTCTTAGCCTACCAAAAGGAGGGTTGCCTGGTTTCAGGTTTCCTACCAAGCCCGGCCCAAAAAGGCTCACTCAGAACCCGCATCTCTGGGCACCCACGACGCCGGGCATCTGGCCACACATCCATGACACCAATCCCGTGGTGCGGGGCCAGCGGTCCCTCCGCTGAGTGTTGCCAGCTGTCACCTTCAGCCATTTGTCCAACTCCTTATCTCGGCATAGGCCCGGGATGTCGATGTTGCAGCGCTCTGCAATCCACTCTGCCGCCGTGTCAAAGGACTCGTCCATCATAATAGCTCTGGTCAGAGCAGCGGCCCTGGCAGCACGGTGTCGCCCAGACATGCAGTGCACCACAACGATCTCGCCGCAGTAAAGCGACTGCAGCAGCAGCGGCCACAGTTCGCGCCATGCCTCCGTCCTGGCTGCCCTCACCGCAATAGGAAATCTCCTCAAAAAAGCCTGGGAAGGATTTTTTTTTTGGCCCCTTTCAGGTTTTTCGGTGAAGCATGCGACCCGCAAAGAGGCTGATGCCCTCGGTTCGCTACGGTAGGCAACCCACTAAGCCACAGCTGACCACCCGAGGAGGTCTCAAGGATCTTTGTTGGAGCTTGTGCATACTTCCCCTTTGCTACTGCCAGTTTGTCCCAAATGACCTCCTCAAGGGGGAGGTTCATCGTGGTCGGCATCTCCGGCATCTTGAAATCTTCATCAGCATAGCACGTGCAGTGGACTTGGCTTTGGGAGGAACCTTTGGCTCTGGCACTGGTGTCCTTGCAGTGCATGGCGCCTCTTCTGTGGTGGTGTAAAACTCTCTGAGGAGCTCGACGATAGGAGGCCCGGACCTGGTTGTGCTCCTTCTGCTTTTCGGACCTTCGAAGGTTCAGTGGGGGTTGGGGTCCATTTGGTTCTCAAAAAGGATCTATGCCCTCTTCTGCACAGTAGAGATTGGGTAAGGAACGCCCTCCTCATCAAAGGCCAGACCGCAAGATGACCTCTTGTCTTCTGGCAACGCCTGGATAGCTTCCAGGACCTTCCTGGCCCAGGGAAACCCGCTACCGAACTCCGCCGGCACGGACCATGCAAACCCTTTTCTGGCATGGGCTTGCTTCCCCTGAGAACACCATGCATGCGACGTAGATGCAGACAGTCGCTGGGGTGTGCTAAGCTGGATGTGCCTGTGCCTCAGGCCACCAATGGCGCAGAGCCAGTCGGCAAGCAACGCCAGCAACTCTGGATTTTCCTCCGCTGCAGCGATATTCCAAGAAGGCTATCATGCCCGGCTCGACCACCACACCGCCTGTTGCCTCTTGCGGGTCCTCGTATTGGGAGCATCGGGCACTGCGACGTTCGTCAGGTTCCAATTATCGTTCCCACATCATTGAGCCACTTCAGCGATGCAATAGCCCTCACTGGGCCGTCGGTGCCCTCTTGCACAAAAAGGAGGAAGTCCAAAGATTCACCCAAGTCAAGACCTCTATCTTCTTGATAATGGGCCAATTCCTTCCAGGTACGGATTGCATTTATGATTGTTTGGCTGTCCGTCTGTGTAACAATGAAATGTTGTTGGGCTAGACGACGAAGCTGCTTGCGCCATCCCATGCACCATGTGCTCCTCAGTGACATCGTGGGTAGGCGTTGCACCGACATCTCCACAAAACATTGCGATAGCGCCTCCACCCTTTGCAGCACCACCTCAGGTTCGTGCCTATTGGCCGCAAGGGAAATCTCCTGATGCCGACGGGGTGTGAGTTTCGGCGTCCAATCCCAGCTGCTGCCGCACCTCTCGAGCCCGCTCCAACGAAGCCACCTCGATGGCGTCCCAACCTGGTGCGTCGCCTGCCGCCTCCACGGCATATGCCATCCGCCATGGCTCCTGCTGCAACCGCAAGGCCTAGTTGAGCCAGGGCTGAAGAAGTAGGCCCTCCCGTGCTTCATAACTCCGGACTACCCAAGCTCTTCGTACCAGGGTCAGCCCCTTCATGGGTGACTCCCACAATGGGTTGCCCCGGACACCGCGCCTCCTCCGCTCGATCCAGCTGCAGCCGCGGGCGTGCGCGATAAGAGCATGCCGTCCATGTCGTAGTAGGCCATAACTCTGCATGCGAGGGGATAGCAGCATGCGCCCCGGGGATTAGGCTGGGCCAGTAGTGGTCCACTCGACTAAGACCAGCTACTTCCCTCTCGCAAGGAAAACAATGCTGCTATTTTGGATCAAGTTACTTGAGCCAAAATTGGCATCTGTTATTCCTTATTTAACCAACCACCAAGAAATGACAACTGTCCACCCAAGCCTGCCAAACACTAGACATTCACATATATATATATATATATTTATTTATTTATTTATTTATTAATTATATGATAGTTGCATATAGTTGCAGTTTTTACCAGATTTTGGCAGATCCATAATTTCAATTGGGTCGTTTCTCGCCCATCAGAGGCACAGAATTGGCATAGAGTTATTGAGGAGGTCAAAAGGGTGCCTTTCATGAGTGGTACCGGCATAACATTAATAAAGCACATCCTGCATCATGGTTAGATGGTTCACTTTATCAGTTTTTGTCTCTTTGCGAGTGCTGTTCTGAATCAAACTTCACCCAAACCGATTCACCATTTCACCAATTCACCAGCACCTTTCTTAATTCAAGGACCCCAATCCATGCTGAATCCCTAAATAATCCGAAACATATCCAAAACCAACCCAGCATTTGCTGAACCCAAGATCAGAAACAATCTTCACCGGCCGACCTTCAGACACAGCTTGGACCACTCGTGCCTTGAGCCTCGCCAAGTTGGGATGATAGGTGCTATCGGTGGACCTTCGAGCGGTCTCAACGAAGATCCTCTCATCTTGGTACATCTTTGAAGCCAGAAACATCTCGCAGGCTTCGTCCCCCCCATGGGTCAAATGGCAAACCTCCTCCCAGCCCCAATCCAAAGATCTGGAACTAATCTCACAACTTGGATCCAGCCGTGGTGGCGCTGGTGGCGCTGGTGACAAAGCTTCTGGCCAAGTTTCTGGGGCATCTGGGACGGCTGGGATGTCTGGGGCGTCGGTTTTCGTACCTGACCGCTGTTCCACCAAACTGTGGGATTTCAGGAGGCTTTGCAGAAGGCCCAGCTTGGTGGTCGGAAACGGAAGTGAGAGAAAGCGAACAAGAAACGTCGAGAAACAAAGCAAGCCAACAAGAAACGTCGAGAAACAAAGCACAAAACTCCGCATAGTGGTATCCTGGCCGAGGGCTGGCCTTGACCCATAAAAGCATCGGCATAGCTTTCACAGCAGAATCATTCGGTTCTCCTCACAGGATTGGATTCACGTTAAGACATAGGTTTCGTATGGGAATGTGTTGGAAATCTATTTGTCTTGGTTGAGCATCTGGTATCAAGACCATTCAAAACCTACAACCCAGACCTTTGTAGGATGGAAAAAACATGAACATCCCCAATGGAAATCACTGCATGGCTATTTCACCAACATAACCAGCATACAACGGATGTCCTGTGCACTCCCCAGTATTTTGCTTTTCATTAAAGATCTATATATCATATTAAATAATGATATTTTTAATTTTTGGGGCCGAGGGCAAATTGTAGCATGCGGGTCAGCATTCTTTTTTGGCCGAGAAAAGTTGAAACCCGAAAGACCGTGAACCTTGCTGCAGCCAAGTAACCTCTCTCTTTGAGAGTCTAAGCTGCCATTTGAGGCATGGCCAAGTGATCCCTTTGGTAAAAAAGCCACATGTTCACCGTAGCAATTATCAAAGCTTACTGCTCCTACCAGTTGAATTCCTCTATTAACCAACCAACCCTTTATGGCATCAAAAAGGTTATCCCGGGTTATCCCTTTCGTTGCTGGTTAGAAAACTCTTCAAAAATATATTTATAGAATAATAAAAATTGAAGACATTACATATAAATATTGAATCCAATGCCATGATATTCCCATATTAAAAATCCTTATCATTGGGTTTACCAGCCAGATTCAACACCCTCTGTCATTCCACTGTAGTGGATGAGGCTAAACCCCAATATACAGATATATGGTTGGGACACCGCTAAGTAATCATTGACTACAGTAACCATCCTTGATCAATTGTTTCCACCTCTGTTGGATAGTTACAGCCCCATCAATGATGCGTACTGTAAACCCCCATGAGTCAGGACTAATCCTATCCCTCTAGTATTGAACACCCCATAGATGGTCTCAAACAAGCATAAATCCCCTACATTCACCATGGTTTCGTTTGGGGCTAGTATGAACGGGGGAAATACTATAAATTCCACTTGGGTACTTATACACCATGATATCCTCATGAATATCCCATGAAAATTTCCATCTTAAGCTCGCTTCCAAGGTTCGGCGGCAGCGCCGATGAAGGTCAGGCGCCAATTGAAGATGCCGCGCACCGGGGGCCACGCGCCGTTGCCACCTACGGCGATCAACGGGATCAAGTAACATCAAGTAACAAAAATGACAGGCATGGGAATTTGGATCATTTGATAAATAGAAAATCTCCCATTTATTCCCATAAATTTGGATCCAATAAATGGGAAAATTTCTTGGAGTTCTTTTCATCCATCGTTTCAAATAAGCAATCATAGAAGTGGTTGGGAATCAGCACCAAAGATTCTAATTCGGGATGGAGGAATTCATCCATGTTCTTTTGTTTTGATCTTCGTTGCTAACAAAAATCCGGCGAAGTGGTAAACATGAGGGTATCTCATCCAACCTGCTCTATTCTAAGGAAGAAATATTGAAAAGTTAAATGAACAAGACACATTATACACTATTATACATATCATTACTGGTGCTTAGTAGGGAATGGATGGGAATGACGGAATGGGATTATTATTGCTAGTGATGACATGGATCATTCCCTCATTCCCTGCTAAGCACCAGTAAGTCATACAATATTATACATATGCACACATATTCATTAAACATGACCCACGTTGACCACCGGGACTACTGGTTCCATTTGATGTGGCCCTCGGAATCCAGATCCCACCAACCCAACCATCAGAATCTCTCCGTCTATGCCTGTATCTTATCCTTGACCACTTGGTGGTAAAATACTCTTTCTAGCAGCAATTAGTCATCGGGAATCATGAACTCACGTAGGGTCGATAACAAGAATAGACAAAACCCGAAACCACCAGCCAATTGAAATTCATCCGCATCACTGCATCGTTGAGTTCAAAAGTACATCTCTTCCATGCTTGCTCCAGCCTAAGAAATCCAAATTGTGGATATCAATGGCGACAATGTTCGGCCTCAGCTTTGGATGTCCATCCACAGAATACCACTAGAAACATATGCTTGGCAGGACGGGTATATCAACACAGGTCCAGGAACCAACCACCTAATGGATAGTTTGGGGTCAAGCTTTCTTTTGCAAATGAACAAGTAGGACTGAAATGACCACATTCTGCAGCTTCAACTCACCTTAAACTTTAAACGGAGGATCTGCAAATGTCAGATTTTCAGAGTTGGGCCAAAAGTGATCCACTTTTCGTATCTGTTCGTGCCATGTGCCGCATCTCCAAGTGGCACAACCACACGCTTCCGGTCCTCATGGATGCGGGCCAGTAGAGGCTCCTTGGTTCAAGCCACAAGGATTCATCTAGGTACATCTGTGGGAGATTTCCCGTTGCTTGGGTGTGATTCCCGGGTAAATCTCCTTCACATAACTGGTTGGTGGTATTTCTACCCCTCTGAAAAATATGAGTTCGTCAGTTGGGATTAAGACTTTCCCAACTGAATGGAAAAATAAAATTTATGTTCCAAACCACCAACCAGAAAAACACGTTTTCAATGAGTTCGGCTGCAGAACGCCAAGATACCAACCATCCAACTGTGACTTCAGCGTGCGAATCCAGGATGACAATCACCGGGAACCTGGGTGAACAAATGCCCCATCTTAAAATCGGGACAGATTCTAGTAATGATCCGAAATAAGAAAATACAACAAATCCAATCCAAAAATAGAGATATATGATAATATATGACTTTTCCATCGTGTTGGCGGTTGCTATAAAGTACTAAACTGCCCGTCCAGTTGCTTTGCCCAGTTGCGATGTCAATAATCATTGTCCATCAACTGCACTTTCCATGTTGAGGCAAATCCAAACGAGCAACAAACACATCTTGCGCATGCCGCATAACATTCAAGCTGGTTGAAGAAATTTCTTCACACAACACCTTGCAACAAGGTACACAAAAATTACCAAACCACCCCCCCATCCAGCTGGTTTCCTCGGTTTAATCTTTGACATATGGGTTTGTCTAAAAATAGTGTATCCCAAAGCCACCAAATAATCATAATTTTCCCTACTCAAAAAAATGGTGGGATGCACCCTTCAAGACGCATCCCATCATTTTATTCACTGGTCCTGGTCGAATATTGATGAAATGGTTGGCTTACACCTCCATGATATCTCCATATTATTGATGAGATTCAATTTTGTGCAAGAAATGGTTGGATACCCCCAAAGATATCCCAAACAATCCACCATTATCCTCAAAATGAGTCATTTTGCTGGTTTATATACTATATAATGTGGGTAAAACAATAATAAACAACCCATTTGGGCTTGGTATATACCACCTATTCATGGTGATTTGGGGGATGGTGAAATTATTATTTTACCCACATTGTATAAATATATCCCCACTTGGTGGTTCACCCCAGTCACAAGTAGGGAAAGTAAATTTGTTCCAGTAACAGTTGGGGTGAACTGACACACTTACTAACTGGGGTACACCACCAAACAGTATAGCCATTAAAAAAAAACGCAATCCCATCTCATCATACTGGTTAGTTGATAGGTATCTCTAATATGGACCAGTTAATATTAACAATGAACCATGAAAAATCAGTTACTCCCTGTGAATATTATACTTAACTTGACCAGTTAACTTTAATATAATCGCTGGTTCATCAAATATTCCACAATGAACCAGTTAACCCACAGTGATATTTCTAATGGTTCATCTAAGTTGATCCATTGTCCCACGATATCCCCATCAAATGGTTGGGTTTATCCAAAATATTTTCATAATTCCGATAAATCTCATGTATGTCACAAATTTCCATGCATATATAAATATATACATACATATACATGTGTATATATATATATATATATGTATGTATGTATGTATGTATATATGTATGTATGTATGTATGTATGTATGTATGAATTTATCTATCTATCTATCTATCTACCTGTCTATCTATATATCTATCTATCTATCTATCTATCTATCTATCTATCTATCTATCTATCTATCTATCTATCTATCTATCTATCATGTATGTATGTATGTATGTATGTATGTATGTATGTATGTTTGTATGTATGTATGTATGTATGTGTTTGTGTGTGTGGGTGTGGGGTCAACCCCTGTTTCCAAGGGATTTACGAATTGTTCAGTTTTTCAGTTTTAAGGCAGGGGGTGCGAGCAGCCCATCCAGTCTTGCACCAACGAAGAGACTGGATGAGTGCTGGTGATATCTGACCTGATCAGTCAGACGTACCTGCCATGTGACCATTTCGATTTCTGAATTCTGTGATTCACTCACAACGGCGGCCGTACTCAATTTGTCATTGTTTAAAAACATGTTTGGGTACAATGGCCTTTTCACGAGCAAAAAAATATAAATCAATATGAGCCTCGTGAACAGACATTCTGTCTTACAAGTGTATGTATGTACGTATGTATGTATGTATGTATGTATACATATTTCCAGCTATTGCCATATACTTTCCATAAATCCCTAATCGCCATCCATGGGCTGATCCAGCTGAGCTCCGCGCCTCGCTTCCTTGGCACCCAAGTTCCGTGCCGCCACGATGCCGTCGTGGCTGTCGCGATGCACCAATCCTAAACAAAACGTCTGGATCTAACGGAGATATGCGGAGATTAGTGCGTATATGTGGGCAACCTTTTGGCGACCGCTTCTGCACTATATACAAGCTTCTGCTGGTTGTTCTGGCTGAATTCTTCTACATCGACATTTTCTCCATTCACTTTTTCTGGATTTGTCGTATTCAACTCCTTCCTCAAGTCTGTGGGGGGGAAGCCTTGCACAGTCTGTTCTACATCTCATTCTCCGAGTTTGCTGGAACCAGTATCAATTCAACCATCTCTTACTTGGTCTCATTGTGTCTCGTTTCGGTTGCATTATTCTCCTGCTTGCAATTCCAGCCAATTTTCTACTTCATCGACATTTTCTCCACATACATTTTTCTGGATTTTTCACATTGTACTCCAAGATGAAGACAAAGAGGGAAGTCTTCCACATCAAGTCCTACTTTTCACTCGCTTCTTTTGCTGGAATGTACACTCCTCTTCATTCTGTACTGAAGGGGCCATGGCAATTTCCATTTCCTGCTATCTGTTCTCGCGGGACTGAAAGTCCCTGTTTATAAAGAAAGTTTGTTCTAAGAAAAAAATGCCTGGAGGTATCTGCCACCAGGAAGCTGTTATCATCAGCTCCGACCACACCATGCCACATCACAGGTGGCGAATTTCTATTAAGCTCTCTCCGTTTCGATTTTGTGGGCCAAGCAATTTTTTTCTTGTCACATTATCTCCATTACCTTGCAGCAAAAGCTCACAGGGGCCGCCAGAGGCGTGCCGAGAGACCACGGTCACTCCATGGTTGTTACTTTCTCCCTTTTCTAGTTCTACTTTCCAAAGCGAGAGACAAGTGGTCACGAACCCTGCTGTGCGTCACGGGACCGATCTCCTTAAGTATTTTTCTCCTTTGTGATTATTGTTTCTCCGTCGTTTCGTTGGTTTTGGGGTCCACCTACACAAAACCATCGGGTCCCCTGTTATAGGTGCTGGTTAGTAGCTTATCCTGCAGCCACCGATTCTCCTGTTCTTTTGAATTGTTAACTGTTCTTGTTTCTCCATTCGGCTGACGGAAAGCTGCTGCTGACGTGTAGTTCGACATGAACTGCATACCGCTGCGGAAAACATATGTAACTATGTATATATATATATATACAAATATATATATAATAATGGATCAGCTATCATTTAATTTTGTAAATCCCACACCTTATTCAAGGCCACCCCGATTGATTGCTCTTTCATGTTTTTTCAATGTCAACCAGCAATAAGCATCTTCTATGGTCAGGTCGAGGTCGTCCTCACAGTGATAACCAATACCTGGACAGAAAATAAGGCTTCTATACTGGCCACCAGCAGTTAGCAGTTTTGGATAGAAAAATGGGATGTTGAAGCTGTCTCGTGCTGCAGCCACTGTACGGTACTCACGCATTGGGAAGTATCAACTCAGCCATTGCCAGAATGTTTGGGCAAAGATCCTCCAAATCCTCCGGTCTGCCATTGCAACATGAGATCTCAAATCCAAATTACCATCCGGTAATCAAACATGACAAGCTGGAAGGTTTACAGCTGGACACATTATCTAAAAACGGTGGATTACCCAGCCGTATTTGATTCTCGTTGTGACTGGCTTGGCAACTCACCGAGTCACAGCTCGGGATCATGTCCTATATCCACTGGTAATGGAAACATGGCAAGCTGTAAACCCCAAACAGTTACCCTCTGGTAAACTGTCACATAACGAACTGGAAAATCTCCATGCTATTAATGGGGAAAACTCACTATTTCTATGGCCATTTTCAGTAACAAACTGTAAACGTTTAACAAAGGGTAGTTCGATGATGTTTCCAGTGAAATGGGCCATTTCTTGAGGGGATTTCCCATTGCCAACCATGGAGCTGATGACAGTAGTGTCCCGTTCTATGTCCATTGTATCTCCTTAGGTTGCCATGAAATCCTCATTTTTGATGGCTAAATCACGGTAGACCCCAACATAAAGCATCATGAATGATGCCTTGCAGTCGCCCAACTCCGCATTCCTGCCACCCTTCCATCGACAAGCATCGCACTTTCTCGGGAGGAACTATCCTCAGCACTTCTGCGCAGATGAGTAAGTCCACCCTGCGGCCCTTTTGAACTCATATCCCCTCAGAAACAATTCAGAAAATCAGAGGTGGCATCCCCAATTTTCGTTGATGTGCTGAAGGGGATGGTTCATTCAATCACTGAATATCTTAAATCTAGAAGGCAAGCCTCCATATCCCCATTATCTGTGGGTGCCACCTGCCACCCTGGTGAATTGTCATCCGCTCAGATCTGGTGACCAAAAATCCATGGAATATCCCCATCTGTTGATGGTGAAATCCTCATTAATCCCCCATGGAACCCCATGAAATATCCCCATGAATCCATAGATTTTACCCACAGGGGTTTCACCGAGATGCCCCTTGAGACGTTCCAAGTGCTCTGGTAGCAGTTTCAGCTCCTGGAGATGCTGGATGGAGATCATCTGGGTTTGACCATTGGTGACCTTTTCATCATGGGAAAATGATGCTTAACCATGGTTAACCAATGGAGTCAGAGGAAGCCTATTTTCGGACAAAGCCATGGAGCAATCGGGTTGTTTTACCCCTGGAGCTAGCTGGAAAGGTGGCTGAAAGGCACGTGATTTTTCGAGGTAAATCATGATTTTGGGACTCCATGGGGATGGATTGGGCAAACTGGAAGTAAACATGATTTTCAATGACCATCTGGTTTGCTGACTGTTACACTTTGCGAACTTGAACATGGCCATCTAGTTCGTTGATTTACCTGAATATTTACCTATCCCAGATGCTCCATGGTGCTGGAATATTCAACTACATGTACCCCAAAAATGACCCAGTTCTGTAGGTAAATATTCCATACATGGAGCATCTGAGTATTTAAAATGGAGATTTTTCAGTTCGCAAATTCGCAAAGTGCCTGTTGGCATCTTCCGCCCATCGCCACCAAGTCCTCCAGGTCACTGTGGTCATCCACCAGCAGAACCTTCGGGGATTTCAAGGCGCAAAAAGGGGGGTGACCTGATTTTTTCTGTTTTTTATCCATGAAAAATTTGGTTTTTTCCATGACAAATTGGGATTTTCCCATGAAACATTGGGAAACGCCAATGATAAAGTTTATGTTTTTTTTTCCGGGCGTGGCCTATTTTCAAGATAAAACCCACAGCCTGTTTGGGATCTGACTCTTCACACTACTGCAACGTCTGTGCTTGATGGCTCTGGGTAAATTATAATATTTCACTAACCTGAACTAAGGCCATTTGGGGATGATTCCCCTTAATTATTAACCATTATTCCCAGTGAGGTCGCAGTGAGGTCGTTATAATTTACCCAGATGGATGTAATCTTGCCATTGTATGCCATTGCGGGGTGATAAATTTTGTGACTCCAAAACTTCTAGTGAAAGGATGGCAACATTTCACCCGCAGTGTCCGAAAATTTCCGACTCCCCGCCTTTTGAATGATTTGTTCCTCCTAAATTGATTGATGGCGGCCTGTGGACTATTTTTCTTGGGTCCAAAGCATTCTTGGACATCCCGGATGTCAATGTACGAAAGAATTCGCATGTGTGTTGACTAGTTGGAGGTTGTGAGGTTGAAAGAATAGAGGGATCCAAACGGAAAGCCACACAATCATATAATGATATACTGGTTGGTGGTATACCTACCCCTCTGAAAAATATGAGTTCGTCAGTTGGGATTATGAGATTCCCAATATATGGAAAAATAAAAAATGTCCCAAACCACCAACCAGTATGACCCCCCGGGCCAGCTGATTCCATCCCATTTCTTCATTGCTTCACCCATCTTAAAAAGCGCCCAAGACTGGCGTTCACCGTGCCTCTCCCAGAAGTTCCTCTGGAGTGAGATTGAAGACCTCGGCAACTGCTTCTAAGCCCTGCCCAACTTACTTGCTCGCTACAAACCTATATCATATCATTCTAACTAAGACTACTGTAAATGATCAACTAATGAGTCTAAATGAATCGAATTGCAAAGAATTGTTATCGTGCTGCTTGGCTAATACTTCATTTTAGGAAAGATCTCAGCAACACAGAGACACACACACACGATGATCAGGAAAGGTGATTTCAATAGGATTGGGTCCACCAAGCCACTGATCCACAGAGTCATTTCTTCCTTTCCGAAGACAGCCCAGGATATTTCCCAAATCCGACAGGATATCATCCAAAAAAATCCTGCTAACCGAGACCACATGACTTGGACGACCAAGCGACCATCATGACGTTGCGCAGCAGAGTGGACAAGGCTTCGTTGAAAAAGATGATGATGACCTCGGCGTAAACGCGATGAAAATGCTCATGACTTGGGGCTAAAAATCGTGTGTGATATCCCTTGAAAAGGGGGTTTAGGATATCTTTTCGCAGGCTCTACATTCAAACCATATATCATCTAAATATATCTAAATATAACAGTAAGATACAATTTCACACCGGAATTTTGATTGAGAGAAAGGTTCAATTTTACCTCATTTTTTTTATAATTTAGCACTATATCTTGAAAGGGATTTTACTTGAATATGGTAAGCCGGATAATATTTACCTCCAGTTGGGGATGGTTATTCACCATCAATTTCTGGTAAAATTGGAGATGGTTCATTAATTGGATGACTTAAATTCTGCAGCTTTGTGGCGCTTGCTGCAGGTAGGTCCATGACCCTAAACTTCGAAAGTTTCAATCTTTAGTTTCTTTAAGACACGTCAAACAACAACGCATTCCCTAAAGATGTCTAAACAAACTCCCAGTTCAATCCAGTTCAAACGTGATTCTGCTTTTCCCCCCAGACTTTGGACTATTGACTTGGATGTGCTTAAGAAACATCCAAGTCAAAGTACTAAGAGATTCCTTCATCGATTCCCCAAGTCATCCAGATACCATTCATCAGTTGATTTTCCCAGATTAGTTCCGTAAAAATATCCATTTATGGTGTATTGGATACTTGATTTTCCCATTCGATCCCATTCATAATCGAAACTGGTTGGTGGATTGTTCCACTCATATCCCCGTAATCATCCGATTAATTAATGGATTATTCTAATATATGGATATGATATGAATGGAATAATGAAACGTACCGGATATTTTCATCTATTGATAGATCTGGGTAAATTATCATTCATAGTTCACTAACCTGAAATTTTCAGGCTTCTTCTTGGGATGATTTCCCTTCCATCCTTACTAACCAACATTCCAGTGAGGGAGAACGGTGAGGTCGTTATAATTTACCAAGATCGATAAGTGGTTGGTGGTATACCTACCCCTCTGAAAAATGATGGAGTTCGTCAGTTGGGAATATGAAATTCCCAACCGAATGGAAAAAAACATGTTCCAAATCACCAACCAGATGAAGAATCGAACCTATATATTCTGGGTTATTATAACTATTATAACCATAGTATAACCCAATATATAGTGAATAACCATTGATAATAGATGAAGGATCCCCTGAATTTCCCATCTTTTCCGCAACGGTCAAAGCACCGAAGCCTTCGGCAGCGCCGAGACCTCCGGGTACTGCCGCGCCTGGCACTGCGCATTGCGCAGGTCACGCGTGGGACGGACCTCGCAACACTGACGGGCGGCTGCCGGGCGGCTTCGATTTATAGGAATTAATCACTGGGAATAACTGGGATTTTCTAGGATCCAAAGAACATGAGCATATTTATATGGATTTATGTTGGCTAAGTCTGGTTCACTCCAACAACTGTTGGATTTCTGGTAGATATATCTACATGATTCATGCGGCTTTAAACCAACAAACATAGCTGGCAGCACCATTGTCAATTTAAGGGACAGTTTATGCTTGAAACCATGTCTTTTATTCAAAATGGCTTGCAGATTTCCAAAAGAAAAGTATGCAATTCAAGCAACAGTTGTGGAGGATGCATTGCGGGAATGTGATATGTCTAGGTATGTCCAAGTTGGGTTTCACGCCGGATCTATAAAGGAACATTTCCCCCATTGAGTTCGATGACTAAACCCTGAAAAACCCTCCGGTAAACTAACACAGTTCGCTATTGAAAATGGCACATTTATAGTTGATTTGCCCATCAAAAATGGTGATTTTCCATAGTTATGTACACGCTTACCAGACAGTAGATCGGCTTTTTCCCAGCGACGTCGACTGATAAGAATTGGACCATCCCCGACCCGGAACATCAGCAGCTGGGAGGATTTTCCGTTACGAATCCTTCCAACATGTGAACACGTCTTTGCACATTGCCAGATGTATTAGTATGAACGTAGGTCTGTGTATATATATATACATACATATATATATATGTATATATGTATATATATGTATATATGTATATATGTATATATGTATACGTATATATATATATAGGTTTGTCTGGAAATACCGTATCCCCACTGGAAGGTTTGTCTAGGGGGTATGCTTCGGAGGTATGCTTCGGGGTTTGCTTCGGGGGTATGCTTCGGGGTCTGCTTCGCATGAACTTCATCACATGGAATTTACTTCATATCTAAGAGGCTTCCAACAAACTTTCCAACCTGGTATATATCTCTGTGTATATCCTTGCACACACACACACATATATATATGTATATATATATATGTATATCTAGGGAGAGACACGTATGGTTTTCTGGTCTAAATCAACCGCCAGGCCAGAGTCTGGCTTTCCCAAGTACAGGTGAAGCCCGAGGCTAGTTCTGACAGCAGGTATAGTTGGTTCAAGGCATAGCTGGCTGTAGGAAGCACGTTTGTTCCTGACAGCAGGTGGTTGGTTCAAGCCATAGCTTTGGTGCCATGGCGGTATGGGCAAGGATGTCTTATTTTCAGGGTTATGCAGAGATGTGAAGTATCTTACTCACGCGTTCAAAATGTGCCAGGGTCTGGAAGTTGAAGGTTTGAGGTATGATGAAACGGGTGTGATTCGGGTATGATTCGCGGAGCACTATTCAGCACACCGTATCAGATCTAGACAGGAGCCACAACGGCCAGTCAGCACCAGAAGCTGGTCGATGCAAACGGTATCGGCTGCCACAATGAAGCTACAGCGGCCAGTCAGCACCGAAGCTGTCTTCAACCTACTTGGCTGCATAGGGCAGCCAGACTGCGGGGATGGAGGGCGGGATGGCGCAAAGGGCGCCTAAAGGCAGCATGAAGCTACAGCGGCCTGTCAGCACCGAAGCTGTCTTCAACCTACTTGGCTGCATAGGGCAGCCAGACTGTGGGGATGGAGGGCGGGATGGCGCAAAGGGCGCCTAAAGGCAGCATGAAGCAAGTGTCGCGACCCTTGATCTCCAAACAACAACCATCAACAAGCCCTCAAAAATGATCTTCATTTTGGGGGTTTGCTTCGGGGTATGCTTCGGGGCTATGCTTCGGGGTGTGCTTCGGGGGTATGCTTCGCAAGAGCGCCACCTTCCACCAATACATATCTAGGACCACTGAAAAAAATACTAACCCATATATATATATACATATGTATATTCATATATATGTACTTAATTAATTATGATTATAATTATTATACACTTATTATACACATATAAACTTATAATTATATATATATATGTATAATTATATATACAATGTATATGTACAATGTATCAGATCTATCTGATCCATCCCTCCCTTCCTTGTTGCACCACTGGAGTTTCCAGCAGCGTTTTCACCCGTCGCTGCTATGCTTGGGGCCGGACTAAGCCCATCTCATTACCTCAGGGTGGACGAAAAGTTCCCTCATATTCTAGAATTGGTTGAAGCAAAAGAAGGATGGTAAGTAGCAATCCCATAGAATCCATGTATGGTATATATGCTAACATTGGGGGTATATTAATGGTAAATGTTACCATATATGGCATACATGGATCCTATGGGAATGTAGAGCATATGTGTAATAGTTTATAATCACCAAATTGACTGGTGATATATAGAAAAAGAAAAGAAACAGTATTAGTTATCAATATTGTCAATAACCTTTCCCAAAAGGGACCCTTCTGTTCTTGCTGCACTACTGATGGTTTTGCTTGGAGTCGGCTGTGATGATTCCAAGCTGCTCTTTTTCAGGTTGAAGCCATACTGTTTGAACATCGCTTTCTGCTCCTGGGAAGTTTCTGAGGGCCCTAGGGCGCTGTAGTCATCAGTGGCAGCTGAAATGCAGACTGATGAAAGGAAACACAGCAAGAGATCAACATATTGGTTTGTCTCAAGATGGAAGACACCCGCAAATAGCCATTTCAATGCGAAATAATTATCACATTTTTTTGATGAACTGTCATTGAAACACTACATTCACTACATCAGCCTCCAGTCATCTCTAGTTCTTCATGTCCAGGGCTGAAAAAAAATTCGCTCCGAAGGCCCCGAAGAAGAACCATCAGGCCGCCCGTGGAAAAAACAGATTCCCATCGAAGCACATGAGTCCGAAAGGTCCCACATGTCAATGTAAGTGAATATCCTCAGAAAATATGGCCCAAAATATGGTACTAACGTACCTCCATCTGTTGGATCCTGAAATTTCCATTGAAGATTTTTTAAACCCTGCCCTCCTTCAGAGACTTTTGCGATAGGATGTCCTCCTCGCACAAAGCAGTGAGATGGGGAGATGGGATTAAGGCAGGGCGTGCTACCGTCCTACCACATATCTCCAAATATATCCAATGTCTATGATTAATTCCTAGGGACATCAAGAAATACCCTGCAAAGAAATATGTCTGTGTTGGCTACTATTTGTCCCCATGTTGCACACCAAAAACTGGTTTTCACCCACCCTTTCCAAATTTTACCCAGGTGTTGTTCCTGGCTTCCCTATAATTCCTGATCAGATCCCCGTTTTTGCATATGAAATCACCATTCTTGAAGCTTTAATGTTGATGGTTGATACATGTTGATACCAGTTTCCATTAACCAATGAGGGCCAGCCCTGTCACCATCTGGACCAAAAATACCAGAAACAAACCATCCCCGTTTTGACATACTAGAAATGCATTGGATGAAACAACTATCCCCACACGGTAAATTGATTGTTGGGTTTACCTCATTGTTATGAGGAGTTTTCTCATATTGATAGTCATTAATCATCCCTCTTTGTTGCATTTTCTCCCAAAAGACTTGCACACACCCATCTGGGTGAATTGGAATGAGTCATAAACCTGGAAAAACTGGGAACAGTTGCCCTTACTATGTACAGTAATAAAAATTCACAGTCACGCCGCGGCGTGAGGTCGTATATGTTGCATCCATTATATCCCCATGATCCTTCCATTTTTGTTGCTGAAAAATCACTGTGACAGTGTTGGTAAAATACGATCGTTTTTGTTGCTTAAATCATCATGTGTTGGTTAGTTAAAGCATGATGTTGATGAAATCATCCTTTCTGTTGCTTCAACAACCATGTTTTTTATTGGTTTCATCATCATTCTCGTCGTTGGAATCACCATGTCTTCCGCCCTGGCCCCGAAGGCGGCCCAAGCGACCGGCAAGCGAAGGTCCAGGTGATATTTCCCAGGTGGACCTGGTGTCTTGTGATATGCACGATGACCATGGGATGTCGCCACAAAGCATATATATATAATGTAGTGTATATATATATTATGTAGTGTATATATATATTTTTTTTCTGCAGTGTATATATATATATATATATTATGTAGTGTATAAATATATATTATGTAGTGTGTATATATATATATAATGTAGTGTATATATATATTATGTAGTGTATATATATATATTATGTAGTGTATATATATAAACTATGTAGTGTGTATATATATATTATGTAGAGTATATATATATATATAATGTAGTGTATATATATATATTATGTAGTGTATATCCTGATCAACATGGCAAACAAACCGCTTAAACGGCCGTCCCTACCTTTCACCAGTCGGTTCAAACCCCTGTGTCCTTCCTTCGTAGTGGTTTGTTGATAGGATTTTCCATTACGGATTGACAACCCCAAGATATTGGATCTTTTTTTAACACCCGAACTAATCATGAAACAACAGGAGTTTTGAACATTGCTCAATTGAACAACTTGGAACGGAATTATTTTTTCCATTCCCAGATGCTCAATGGTGCTGGAATATTTAACTACATTTACCCCAAAAATGGCCCAAATGTAGGTAGATATTCCATACATGGAGCATCTGGGATTTATACACTATTTTCCCATCAAAACTTCCATTTCAAGGGGATTCCCCAGCCATGATTCGCCCAGCCAGAAACCAACCTGTGACGATGGGCGTTTTCTCCTTCTTCTCTCGATGAACGTGTTCGATGTCGATGCCCTGCTGGCGCGACTTGCCGTGACTTGCTACGGCGCGACTGGGTATTTCCCGGCTTCAGCGATGCATCATCTATTATCAATCTCCATATCTCAGAACAATTCAAAACATATGTATAGTATATGTAATTATATTAACATGCATATTTTTTTGTACATTAGGTTCTGTATATATATGTATATCATAGATATTGAAAACTTATCGTATATATTCGTATATTATGTAATAAAAAACATAACATTGGCGTGGGACAGCACAGCCCAATCAGCATCGAAGAGGCGCCTTATGACATCCAGTCAGCTTGTAAGGTTGTGACCTCAAGAGGCAGAGGCTGCACGGCTGGTGGCACTTCTGGTGTGCTGACGTAAAGATTCCATGGGAAACTGGTGGGTGGTTGAGCCCTACCCCCCTGAAAAATATGAGTTCGTCAGTTGGGATTATGAAATTCCCAATATATAGAAAAAAAAAAGGTTCCAAACCACCCACCAGTAAACCTATTACTGGTTGGTGGTTGACTAACCATCTTGAAAAATGATGGGGTTGGGATGACATCCCATATAAAAAATGGAAAATAAAATTCATGTCTGAAACCACCAACCAGATTACCATGGAAATGATTCACTTACTATTCAGCACTATTCACTTACTATTCAGCAAATTACTATGTATAGATCTAGTAATGAATTATTCATATGGAAATTAGATCATAGACATATTATGAAATATTCATGGACGTGAAATCTATTTGATTGGTGATTCACGATGGTATCTAATATAATCCAATAGTACTTGAGAGTGATTTGTGTATCTCACTAATATACTACCAATTATTGATAGTACCCTCTGGTAAACTAACATAACTATGGAAAATAACAATCTTTAATTAATGGGTAAATCAACTATACATGTGCCATTTCCAATAGCTATGTTTACCAGAGGGTATATAGATTGAAAAAAACATCAGATACCCAATACTAGGGATGGAGGGTGAACCAGGTGAACCATGAAAACCTGGGGCGGAAGACGGTTTCTACACCCTGAAAATTCGCCGGTGTATTTCTATATATGAAATACCCCAATGACAAGGCCCCAAAAATAAATAGATGCAGTACTAAAGCAGGGTTCCTGTATTTTCCTCGGGAGAGTGACTTCATATTCATGAGTACAATTAGCCTCAAATACATTCTTAAACACAGGAAATTGTATGTCAGCTTCTTCTTAGAAATCTTAGAAACTCCAAGTTAACCAAGTTATTGTTCTTGGAAATCATAAACATCCTAGTTGAATCAAATATTGAACAGATGTATTTCCTGGGAAGAATGGCGCCAAACCATGCCAAAGCCTCCAAATGAATCCAAAATTCCATTACAAAGGGTGGTATGGTCTCCAAATTTGCGAATGTATATCTCTGTGGAATTATTGTATTTCCAGGAAAGAAATACGGGAAACTGTAGGCCTTTTGCACACTCAACTTTGTTGAGGCCCCCTGAAAAAAGCGTAAAACCCGATTCTGTTACAATTGGTGAGGATCATCCACATAATTCCAAGTATGGATTGAAAGTCACCGGTGTTTCAAATAAGTCACCATGCCTGCTGAGAAAGGCTACATGTCCACATCTACAATACCACCATGTACACTGGTGTTCTTTACCTTGGCAAACGCACATGAACATCACGTTATCATGTACGGGCACCTTGTCATCAAACTGTAGTGTTAGTAAAGCACTCGTAAACCCTCACCAAACCACACATGAGTGGTATAAACATGTATTAACCATCAAAATATGTTGTTGTTTTTTGTTTTATTCACATGTTCATCCATTTTCATCCATTTTAATCGCAGTTTTCCAAGTCTTCCTCTCATCCTGGCCATCGCTCAAGCAACATGGCTTGGAACCACTAAGCGGCTTAGTTCAAAAGATATATCCGTTATAAAGATAGGTTGCTGAAGTAAACTGCCAAATGCATGATCAATCAACGGTCATTTATCAATTACATCCCCATATCTATAGATATAGTTAAACTATGTTAAACCCTCATTAAACCATGAACCCCCATCATACGCTACAATTGATGGGTAAATCCCTTGAAATCCCACAATTTTAAGTTGGTTCACCTTGGTTTCCCGACAAATGCAAGCAGGGCAAAGCTTTGGCCCTACCGTGATATCCTTCAGCACAGTGTACCTCCACATAGAAATCCTCTCCTTGATCGCTGTCTGGGCAACTGCAGCTCTTTGTTGACGCCATACATGGATTCTTGGATACTTATCCCATGTATGCCGTTTATTTTACCCATAAGCCATACAGTATATAACCATTACAGTTTTTTTTACCCATACAAAACCCATCCAATAGCATGTATAGAACCATTGGTACAACCCATATCTGGTTGGTGGTATACCTACCCCTCTGAAAAATATGAGTTCGACAGTTGGGGGTACTATTCCCAATAGATGGAAACATAAAAAATGTTCCAAACCACCAACCACATATATATATATATTATGGGTTATTATATATAACTATGATAACCATCGTATAACCCAATATATGCTCCAGAACCTCCACCAAGTTTACCAAGTTTCGATGGAGCTGCTGCTCCTGAACCATGTAGCCCTGGAGCTTGGAAGACTAGTAACACCTCCAAAAAAAAAGGGTGGAACAAATATGGACACTTTATGGTGATTTTTATGCTGGTTTTATGGTGATTTTATGATGATTTATGGTGATTGTATGGTGATTTCATGGTGATTTTATGGTGACTTATGGTGATTTTATGGTGATTTATGGTGATTTTATGGTGATTCTATGGTGATTTAAAGGAGTTTAATTGGTGATGTAATGGGATTTCTAACCATAGGCTTTTTCTCTGGGTCTATGTGAATTGGAGGGATTGGGCGAAGTACAGAGTCAACCTGATTTCAGCAATGAACGATGGATATGGCTGTGTCCGAGGGTTGGGACTAGCCACACATCGTCAGAATCGATCCCAGAATCCTGGTGGATGATGCTGAGTGGAGAAAACAGATCCTATGCATGTTGTCTCACAAGAAACCAAAAAAACGCCTCAATCATGCTCAAACCCCGGGCTGCCCCCGTGGCTGTCTGAAACCGAAGCTGGCCAGTGCGCCTCTGTACTTTTGGGAGTGGAGCATCCATTGTGATGTGGAAGCACACCATGAAGCCCGAAGAAACAACAAATCAAAAACACCTGAAACCGAGACGAGAAAGCTGCGCCAAAAAGCCGTTTCAAGGCGAGACTAAACAAGATGAAAGGTGTGATTTTACTTGTTTTACTGTCTCAGCCATGTTTTTTGCAATGTCGGAAAAAGCGCTGGATCTCCATCATTGGTTTCTCCATCAATTGACCGTGACCATTCCTGCCTGTACCAAAAGCAGGAAGACTAGGATTCGGCTACGGCAAATCCAACCTCAAATAGCCGAGGCTTTGGAGCCATCCCAAGCTGCGAAAAAAACGAATGGGACCGTCTCGACTGGAGTATGACGCTGGAGCATCTGCTGCTGAATATTTGGGGAAGTGAAGTTGGAGTAATTTACCCTCTGGTAAACATACAAAAAGCGAACTGGAAATTCACCATGCTATTCATAGGCAAATCAAGTATAAATGGGCCATTCTCAATAGCAAATTGTAGCAAATTCCCAGAGGGTAACACTTTCCTATGGTGCCAAGGCCCATCTAGTTCGATGCACCTTCCACATCCCCAAAAAAACTATGGTGGGAACCCATTTCCAGAGCTATATGATGTTAGTTTACTGGAGGGTATATATATATATAGATAGATAGATACTGTAGAGGATGTTTCAATAAGATCGAAAGATTTGGATTCAATCGCAAAAACAAGTACGAGTATCTCCACCCCTTGGTTGTTCAGAGGATCAGGACAAGAAAACAGCAGAAAACCCGTTGATTACTAACCAAAAATCACATTTCCTGCATGTGTTCCCTTAAAACGCCTTCACATGCCTTCAACAAAATAAGAAATAGTAAAACTTGGAATGCAAGAGTGGTTGGTGATGCCAGCCCATCACAGCGATATCGGTGCATTGTTAGAATCATCCCCAGTTTGGACCAAAGATAACGTGTGAGACATATGATTGAGGAAACCAGCAGCTAGATTATGTATATATACATACATTATATACCTTACATTGCCTTACATAACCTTACATTGCCTTACATTTGCTTACATGACCTTACATGACCTTACATGACTTTACATGACCTTACATACCCTTACATTGCCTTACATTTCCTTACATGACCTTACATGACCTTACATGACCTTACATTGCCTTACATTTCCTTACATCACCTTACATGACCTTACATGACCTGAGATTACCTTACATTACCTTACACTACAATCCATTCCATGCCATGCCATTGCATTACATACATACATGTATAATATGTATACATGTATTTATATATATATATATATATACATTTTGTTTTATTTATGTGTTTATAAATTAAATATTGATTATATATGATGACATATGATACAGTATTACATGTATTTGTATCGTTCCAATCTTTCTGGGATTGCAATTTTTCTGGTTGCCTTGGTTGCCCACGGAGGATCCAAGGTTCCACAACTCACTTTGGATGACTTTGGTGTCTTGGCCATGGCGCCATCGCGTGTCCCGAAAGTCACGTTTCCGGCACGGTCAGTGTCTTTTATGGCGGTCCATCATTTTTCTCGAACACGTGGGGATTGTAATGAATCTAACCTTTGGGGAACCTCAAATCCTGGCAATTTTATGATATTTCCCAGTGAGATAGATTACGGTCCTCAAACCGTTGATTCTCTAGGACTCGATTGCAAAGTGACTTTACCGAGAGGTTCCTTGCTATGTCAAGGCTAGTGAGCCCGCATGAGTTTTTGCTAAAGACATCTTTTGCCCTTGTCTCCATGGCTTTCTATTCTATTCTGGCTCAAGCTGGAAGAATGCCATGGCCTTTGAGTTTCATGGAAGGAATTCACATTGCCCTCTGGTAATTTAACACTAGCTATTGAAAATCTCAAGTTTTGATAGTTAATCGTTTCTTTCATGAACTGTTTTTATCCATTGACCATAGCTACGTTAAATTACCAGCGGGGACAAGTTGAAGTTGACCATGCAAAAAAAAAACAAATGCGAGCTTTTGGCTCCAAAATAACACTTCAGCTTGGATGTTCATAGTAATAATAGCATCCTCAAAAGATAAACCAACCAATTTACCACTATTTTTTTGGTACACAAAATTCATGGAAATTATGTGTTCTATATTCTTGGGAGGTTCTATACTTGAAATGACATCAGCGCTGGAGAATCTATCTCCTGGGTTACAAGCCAGCAAACATAACTGGGGCCCCTTCCGGTAAGACATAGATTCCACCATCTATAGTAAAACAATGTAAAGTCACAAAGACAACAGAAATCACTCAGGCTGCCAAAGAAAATGGTATGCTCCCAAGGCCCAACTGGCAATTTGTTATAGGGTCAATGAGCATAACTACAACCATCAACTTTAGTGATTTTGTCACAAACATCAGAGACACCCACATCAAAAACCAAGATTGCTTATATTTTATATCCAATTATATGTGTATATATAATATACCCTCTGGAAATTTTACATAGCTATTGAAGATGGTCCATAGAAATAGTTAATTTACCTATTTATAGATGATTTTACAGTTTGCAAACTGTAACCGTTTACCAGATGGTATATTAATAACTACATTTAATGGGGATCTAATGGTGATTTAGTGGCAATAATAGTGATATGACCAACCCAAATGATGATGCTGTGGATGGAAACAAATCCTGCGCCAGTTGATCGATGATTCATCCCATTATTTGCATGGTTTCAACCACCCAAGGTTGTGCAGGATTTCTTCCATCCACAGTAGAAAGGGAGATCCACTATTATTATCCCAAGATTGGTTGGTTATCATAGTGATAATAAAAGTGATATCCACTATATTATTATTATCCCACTATGATCATTATTTACATATCCACTATTATTACCACTAACCAAAATAACCAACCAATAGTGGATATATTTTAATTATTTTATTATCCACTATTATTTAGATATCCACTATTATATAGAAATATTTCATAGGATATCATTATTATAACATATCCATTACCTCTATCCATTAGTCTGGGTAAATCAAAAAAAATACAAATCACTAACCTGAATAGTTCGGCCATTTGGGGATAATTTCCCTAACATTCACCATGATTCTAGGGTTCGGTCACAGTGAGGTCACTATCATTTACCTAGACACATGATCACAGGATTTCCAAAAGATTCACCATGATTCCAGTTACCCTCTGGTAATTTAACATAGCTATTGAAAATCACCATGCTATTAATGGGAAAATCCACTATTAATGGTCATTTTCAATAGCTACGTTAAATTACCAGAGGGTAGTCCTATTGAATTATTGATATATCCCCAAGATTTCCACATCGAATCCGCCCGAATTCCAGCCTCTCTCCTGGGACCTGGATTGGATCCTCTAAAGAACCACCACCATAGTGATTCAGGGAGCCCAAGATACCCCAACATCTTACCAAAAAAAACATTCCCAAAATTGCAAATACAATAAACACACGACCAGGTGCGTTTTTTTAAGATAGCTATCAGACATCACAATTTCTGGTAGATGGTAAATCATTGAACTAAATGGGCATGTTCATAGCTATGTTAAATGGAGGGTAACCAGAGGCTAACTTTCCGACCTGCATTCCTAGAAGTGCAGGAGAGTAGAACTGATGATTTTTGGAGAACATGGATACCCGAATCATGGGTGGCAATGGAACCTTCCCAATTTGTAGATTATTCTGCAACAAAAAATGTGATTCTGACGCTGTAGAGCCGCAATTAATGTGATTTTCTGTTTCTTTCCTGTTGAAACGATTCTTATTGCCAGAATCAAGGCTGTACCTCGGTCCCTATTCATGGTTGGGTGGAGCAAAGACATACGCGTGTTCTGCACAGTAAAGAAGTATTTTTTAACCAAGCCCACGATTCTGATTCTCAACGCACTGTATCATATATATATATATACATAATATAACATATATATATATAAATATATATATATATCATAGTATATATATATATATATAATTTCTATACATCACTCTTAGACACCCCAATTATTGTACCCAGTCTTCCCTTCGTTTCGCACGACCGCCAAGCTGAGCAACTTCCATCTCTTGCTACACCTGCAACTGTCGTTGGGTGCGGTGACTTCATGTCCGACTCTTGGCCAAACATCAGCAAAACAAAGGCACACTTTCATCAGTACAAGACATAGAGATTCAGGTGATACTTACCATTGATGGTATACTCACCATGGTAGTATCACCATGACAACCTGGCTTGGTCATTTTTGCCACTCAGGTACTCTATGCTAATCTGATACAACAAAACACACTAGTAACCAGATGCTAATCCCCTCATTCCAATGTTCCAACAAGTACTGAGGCATCCAAAAACTGGTCAATTCACTTGTTGAACTGCTTGAACCATGTTGAACCGCTATAAATCTATGGTGGGTACAAGGTGGTGCCCCAGTTCGTTAGCCAAGGTGGTGTATAACCAATAGAAAAACTCAGGTTTACGGTTGAAATATCTTTATATATCTTTATAACGTCAGAATTCAAGACTGCTCTGCTGCAGAGACAGACCGCTAAATCCAGGTGGTACCCCAGTTTGGAATCATGACAAGTTGGTTTGCGAGTCCAACAACTGCTGGGTTTATGGCAGATATATCAAACTATTGAGTTATATAGATATAATCATATATATATATATATCAACCATCACACACACACATTCTACTGATAAAAGATTAATGGATGGTTAATGGTATTTCACTAACGGATGATTAAGGTTTGTTTCAACATACCTATATATCTCTAGGCACATTGCCCCATCCCCATCCTTTCTCACCTGCAAGACGCTGAACCTGGCGTTTGAGAATGTCTAGGAGTTCCATTATTTGATCAAGCCCCCATACGATTTATGAGTGAAATGGATGTTTGATGGATTTATTTGGTAAAGATTATGTAAAATCCTGATAATTTCATGGGATGTTCCACGTTTTAATCATTTTGGTGGATAAAATCCTGATCGTAATGATGGGAGTCGGTAAAATCCTCATAACAATGAAGCGACACAGGACACACTGAAAATGGTTCGTATATGATTTTCCATCTGCGATCACCATGGCAAATGGCGCCGAACATAATCAGGTGGAAACAAAGTGGGATCAAGAAACATCAGAACTGAGGTCTACCAGCCTGGCTATGTTTTAGATAAGGAACAGCAATACAACAGACGAAACTGAAAGGGCTATGAATCCCTTGCCTGACCATCATGGGCTTGGGTCGTCCAGTTGTGGCAGGCCTTCTGTTTCGGGGTGAAACCGAGCCCTTCAGCAGTAGCTTAAGTGGGCCTGTCCGAAAATGGTGCTAATACACCGCAAATGCTAGACTTTTAATAAGGAAAAACATGATTCACCACCAGATTTTGGAGGTACCGTATGCCCAAACAAACCCAAGGATCAGTGCCAAACCCTGATTGTTTTGGACCGGTGCCGGAAAACATCGCAGCCGATATTCGGGAGCCAAAAACAGCGCCTGTAACAGCTCTTCCTTAATGGAGGACATGGACTCCTGGGGCCGCTGGGCCGTTGATTTCACCAAAAAAACTATGGAATGATCCACTGGAAAAAAACATCACTGACAGTTACTGGTTGGTGGTTGACCTACCCCCCTGAAAAATGATGGAGTTCGTCAATGGGAAGGATGACATCCCATGTAGAAAATGGAAAATAAAACATGTTTGAAACCACCAACCAGGTTATGTCTGAATATTCTTTGTTGACTTGGAGTATTCCCTGGGAATGGATTCCCGAAAAATCAGGTAGAAGTTCCCAAGTTCCCAAAACGGGGGATGAAACTTTCAAATCCAAACTTAGAATAATCTTAGAATGGAATATCCAAACTATATATATATATACTGGTTCGTGGTTTCAACCTATCTGAAAAATATGAAAGTCAGATTGGATCATCATCCCAACTATTGGGGAAAATTAAAAAAAATCCAAACCACCAACCATATGTATATATATATATATCAGCACCGATGTCGGGCTCACGGCCTGAGCAGACGCAATGCTGTTCTGCAAACCTCAGATTCGTGGATAGCCTGAACAAAACAAGTACCCGGCCTGGTAATGACTAACATTAATGGGATTTAATGGGATTTAATGGGATTTATATAATGGGATTTAATGGGATTTAATGGGATTTATATAATGGGATTTAATGGGATTTAATGGGAATATCATGGATATGTGATATAAGTATATATGATACCCTCTGGTAATGACCAACATAGCTATTGAAAATGGCCATAGAAATAGTGGATTTTCCCATTAATAGCATGGTGATTTTCCATAGTTATGTTAAATTACCAGAGGGTACTGGTAGTGTGGTGAAAACAATGTCATAAACCATAGCTGATAAATGGGATGATATAGGGATTATATAGGGATTATGGGACGATTAATGGAATGATTAATGGGGTGAAAACAATGTCATGTTTAACACCCA